AGAGAGAGAGAGAGAGAGAGAGAGAGAGAGAGAGAGAGAGAGAGAGAGCCTGGCTCAATGCAGCACAGGACCTGTTGTAGAACTCATGGCGTAAATGCGTGAATGGCAAGTCCAGATTGGGCACTGCCGCAATCTTCTGCCACTCCGTGACCCAATCCCGTGTTGCGGTGTTGCCCTGTGTCATGGTGAACAGACGGTTGATGGCGAGTGTTGGCGCGTCGTCGACGATGAACCGCTTCTTCCACAGCCGTGTCAGTTCCTCCCATGTGATCTTGCCTTTCAAGTCCGGTACGTCGACGCCGTGGGAGGTTGCCAGGTGGGTCAACCAGGTCTGGCATCCGCCCTTTGAGTTCATGAACAGGGCGCCGATGTACGCGTGCTTGGCGACGGGCAGAATTGCGAGTTGCGTTGTGAATGCTTCCCACCAGAGGACTGAATCCTACTGCGTATAGTCGTCGAACTTGTCCAGTTGGAAAGTTGGCATCTTGTACAACTTCGGATTGCCATCCGCGTTCGTTGACTGCAGCTGCTGGACCTCGGTCTTCAAGGTATGCAGCTGACTGCTGATGGTGGTCGGCGCAGCGAAGGTGCTGATGTCGCCGAGCATTTCCACTACGTGGTCAATGCGTTCCTCCAGTTGGCGGCTAGAGGGTGCACTGCTGGAAGCCCCAACATCTGGTCTTGGTGTAACTTGTTCCAAGTCCTGTACACGGGCGTCCAGTGCCCGTGTGGCATCCTCATGCTGAGTCTTATGGTTCCGCACGGCCCGCTGGAGGTTCGCCAGCTCGGATTGTAGGTGGTTACAAGTGTAAACCAACGTGGTCACGAGCTTGGCCATGAACTCCTTATGCTGCTCTTCCGGTGTTGCCTCGTCGCTGTTCGGTTCAAAGTGCCAGAACTTGAGTCTCTCAATGCTGGTTGCTTCATGCCGCTGCAGCAGATCCTGGGCTTCCTTGCGGCGAACCTGGGTAGCTGCGTCAGCCTCGGCCTGTAGCCGCAGCTTCTCTGCTGCTGCCGCTGTTTCAGCCTATACGCGGGCAGCCTTGGCTGCCAGCTGGCGCTTTTCCTCAGCCTCGATCAGATCGATCTGAGCCTGGAACCGCTGTTTGTACTCGGCCAGAGTCTCGTTGGCCAGTTGGTCTGGCATGCCCAGGGCTGCCCCTGTCATGCTGACGTGGCACTGTGACTGACGTGGCACTGCTGACGTGGCACTGCTGACGTGGCACTGCTGACGTGGCACTGCTGACGTGGCACTGTTGCGTACGTGGCACTGTGACTGACGTGGCACTGCTGACGTGGCACTGTTGCGTACGTGACACTGCTGACGTGGCACTGTTGCGTACTGCTGACGTGGCACTGTCTGACGTGTCACTGTCTGACGTGTCACCGCTGCTGAGTCCTTCAGATGAAGGAAGAAGGCTGCAAGAGACTGAAGCTCATCCTGCCCCGGGTCCTGATCCGGTTCAGGATCCTCATAACAAAAGGATGCTGCCCGCGCAGTCCCCAAACAATCGGAACCTGTCTCAACTGAAACAGCTGCAGATTCACCTACTTGAGTAGATGAAGGTGCAACACTGGGGGGAACTGCAGTCCCCACGGTCTGTTTTAGTTTTTTGAGTGCCCTGGGCCTGGCATGTAAGGGCAGTCCTTTAGAAAGTGTTGTCCCTCACATCTCAGGCAGACCCCTCTCTCCTTCCTTCTTCTCTAGACTCCCTCCTGGATCTTGAGGTCATGCCAGGGGAGTGTGGAGGGATTGAGTGGGTTAGCTGGCATTCGGACATCTTTGGGCAGGTTAGGGTGTTGGGAAGAGGAAGGCCGACGTCCCTTTTCCTTCCCCTTGGAACTGGCTGAGGCTGTGGTGGGGGTAAACCTTTTCTGCTGCTTCAGAACTCCCAAAACATTCTGAGTCAGGGTTGCTGCAACATCTGTATCAGGAGCAGATCCAGTCCCAACTGAAGGTGTATCAGCCTGGGAATCTGAATTTGAACCTGATGCAGATCCCGCATGAGTGAAGGTTGCCTTTCCCTTTCTACCACCTCTAGGGAAGGCACCTTTCCTCCTGTCAGAGGATGGGCCCTGGACATGAAGCTTTGCCTCCATGTCCAGGGCTGTGCGGCCAAAGGACCTCCAGTCCTTGTGCCCAGCGCTGTACAAAGCAACAACAAACTTCTCAAGCGCTGCCCTGCGAAAGTTGGTCAATAGATCATAAGTGGACATGACCAACCCAGGGGTGGAGGTAAGCTGCTCAAATTCTGCAAACAAGGCCTGCAGGGTGCCGCTGTATCGCTGCTGTCCCAGGCGAGAAATCCTGTCAGCAGCCTTGCGGGCCCGTTCCTTGTCTGCAAAACGGTCCTTCAGGGCCTGCAGAAGTCTGTCCACCCCAAGCCCAAAAGCCCAGTCCTCCATCGACTGCTGCAGACTGCTGGAGGTGGAGGTGGCCCACTTCAATGCAGGTCCCTCCAGCAGTCCCAGAACAGTCGCCACCTTGGTCTGTTCTGCACAGACAAAGCCCCTCAAGTAGGCTTTGGTCCTAGCAGCCCAGTCCCCAACATCGGTCTTGGGGTCATCGCCCCTGAACTTGTTGGGAGCAGGGATCTTGGGATCTCTTTGATCTCCTGCAGTAACAACAACATAGGTGGCTTTGCCTGAGGCTTTTTGGGAATGAGATGGTGACCGGGAAGAATGTACTGAACCAGGGGGAGATGAAGGAGGGGTAGAAGGAGGAGAAGGTTTGGGTTTTATCAGAGGGAGCTGAGGGGCAATCAGCTTGGCAGCTGACAGCTGAGCAGTCAAGTTCTGAATCGCATCCAGAATCTTAGACTGCTGAGCGGCCAGGCTGTCAACCCGACGCTCCAAACGGTCAAAACAATCATCCCAGTTCGTGAAGTAGGAACTGGTGATCTTGTGCTCCAGGATTATCATCTCTGCCAGGTCTTTAGTCACCTGTGCACAACGGTCATCTGAGAGCACCTTGTCTAGCTGCTGCAACAGATATTCCCTTCGGGAATAATCCGTTGCAGCCTCTAGCTCAGCTGCCTCCTGACGTTCTGCAAGGCGGTCCAGTTGCCGCTGCAGCTCCTTTTCTTGCTGAGTAGCAGTCAGAGGTGGAGAAGGCGGAGTGGAGGTAGAGGGATGTTGACCTTCCACCTTCATCACAACTTCCACCTGTGGCTGCTGCTGAGCCCCATGGTCAGACATTTTCCCTTTTTCAAAATAAAATCAAAATAAAAGCAACCTGAGTATGCAGCGATAAGCAGATTCCTTCAGACACCCTGGAATCGCTGCAAAACTCAGACACTGGAACAAATGGGTGTGTAGGCAATCAGCGGTTTGGGTTGGAGGGGTGTCTCTGGGGTCAGGTGTTAGACTGACTGTAAGTCCAACAAAATCATGCACACGATTTCCTTTTACTGAACCTGCACCACACTGGAGTTAGTAGAGTCACTCCACTACTCTTCCAGAGACACGCTGAATTTCCAGATCCCACTAGAAAACAAGTGTATTCAGTGAGAATGATAGAAGATGGTTAGTACTGACAAAAGAGGTCAACCCAATCAAGCGATTCAGACAGACACCCTATAACCTAGCTCAGACTCCAATTTAGACCTTGATGACTCTTGCGGCCATACCCTAGGGTATGACGAAGTACAGGCTCAGTGCGCTTGCTCGGTGCAACCACTGAACACTTGAATCCACCGCTGAAAGTCTTCTTCCCTGCTGACTCAGTACTGGGGAAGATGAATCGCCATGAAACTCTCTCCAGTAGATCGCCAGATGAAGAAGATGCCTCAGTGCGCTCAACCCTCAGTGTTCCAATTCCAATCCCAGCTCCGATACCAACTGTTATGATCTTGGTTGTCTGTCGTTTGTTACCGCCACTCACACACAGACAATCTCATACACGCCCATACATGCATAAGAGAAGGGGGAGAGGAGACAGAGTCCACACTGCACACAGATCAAAGTAGGCAGCGGAATACAGCTATGCACAAATGGGGAGAAGACACAATGTTTCTCTCTCTCTGACAAACTCCCAACAACCAATCACAAGTAGAACCTGCGAGGATAACAATTGAAATGACACTGATGATGAGCCAACTCAAACAATTATCGTACCAGAGTTTGTTCCAGTATCTAGCCACTCTCAGAACTCACACCCCACTCTCTATCCTACACCCAGTTAGTAGCCCCACATCAGAATGGCCTCCCAGAGGCCAGCGCCAACCACCCTGATGAAGAACAGGTCCTGTGATGAAGTCTTCAGTGCCGATGGACAACTCTGACGAAGGAACAGGTAGCTATGGCTGCCACCACCCACGAGTACGCAGTGTAGAGCCTCGATGTAGCCCGACCAGACGCAGATACCCCAAGGGTGGATGCGCTGAGGATGCCCCAGCTATGGCAGACTCAGACTAGGCCGACTATGGCTGCTGTCAACGGCGAGGTCTCAGGATGCCGCCTGCAGACAGTCACTGCCACCAACTCGCTTGGCTTCTCCAACGCTGCTTCGCGAGAAAATGAACTGCCAAAAAGTCCTGAACCGATGGGCCTAACCTCTCTATAGACTACACTAGACCTAGACCGGACTGACTGACTGACCGGTACCGTTTCTGTTTCGGCCTCTCGGCCTCTACCGGACCCGGCTATAGGCTATAGGACCGTCTATCAGCATAGGCCACTTAGGGCCTGTCTGTCCTAGGGGTAGCCCGGGCCTGCTCTACGCAGTTAGGGTAGCGGTAGGAATTCGAGTTAGTACTGGGCCGATATTTTCCCAGATTTGCAGATATGGTAGGTCTCTCGGTTAGCCCTCAGCCAAACAAAATTACGAATCTAACCCTACCGGTTAGTGTACAGCCTCGCAGTCAGTCTCGGCAGTGAAATCAGCAAGTCAATTGCAACCTCCTTGCGACAGCACCAAATGTCCCAAAAAGCTGCCGCCCTAAGGATCTCCATTGCCCGTATCTACTCCTTGGACTGGTTCCCCACTGTGTCAGCGACCAGGGAGCCCAAAAGGACCCAGGACTGATGCTCCCGACGCCACGCCAGGCCATGCTGGCGTACAAGAAGAAGCCATTGGTCCCAGAAAGCATCCACGCAGGGGCATTGTAAGAACAGGTGCAGTAGTGTCCCGCGGTCACAGCAGATCTTGCATTGGGTTTCCTTGTGGCAGGTTCTTGTGGCCAATCAATCCAGTGTGGGGACCGCAAGATGCACGACCAGCCAAGGTAGGCCCGCCTGCCTTTGGTCTGGCAGAGAACACAGCATATCCCAGAAGGCCTTCAACTTGTGGGTTGGCCATGGATGGTGCTGCAGGGTCGGCACCCACCCTCACTTGGATCTAGTGTACAATTCCAGCCTAGTATCGTACTGCGGATGCTATGCCAAGTATAGCACCTTGGTGGTGGTCGGATGCAGAGTATGTCCCCGGTGCAGGCCGGCCTGTGGGGGGACATCCCACTTGCGGGGGTCCACTTCGAAGTCCTCTGCCGGGGTGGCAATGAGGAATGGCCTGGTGGGCTAGCTTCAAGTAAGTTGTGGTATTAAGTCCCTGGTCGATAATAGTTGTGGGTCGGAGCACCAGTAGGCTTAAGCAGAGACAGCAGAAACCGTTAGGCCAAGTGTGTCAGTTGGTCCAGCCAAGCAGCGAAGTCCAAGGGAACTCCGCAACCTTCCGGAAGCAACAGACAAAGGCAAGGGGACAACCTAAGAACCGACAGAAGGAATCTGGAAGGCGGATCAGCAAATATAAAACACACAGACACATGGGATTCGGGATTCTTTTATTTTTATTTTTTACTCCATGAACCCCCCGGTGGCTTCTGACGCGTGCACGCCTGCCGGGGGTGCGCGTTCAATTTTCTCCCCATGCCCGCCACCTGGCATGTTTGAACGCGTTTGAATGTGCCCGTGCACGTTTTGAACGCGCGCGTTTGAACATGAACGTGCGTTCAGCATGTTCAGACAGTCACGTAGGTCTGGGGGGGGGCGCATTTCCAGTGGCCAGAGGGAAAGAACGACGCTGGCTGTAGCTGGGGTGATGTAGAGTTTCCCGGTAACCTGTGCTTGTTGGGGGCATGCGGTCTGGTAGAGATCTGGGAAGGGGTGGCGTCGTTGAAGGTTTGTTTTGAGTGGGTGAGTATTGGCTGGGTAATCCTTCTCTCTAATTTGTTTCGAAAAGACAGGAAGTTTTTTCACAAGTCTTCCTTGAATACTCCTGTTATTGCAGGAACTGGAAAGCCAGGATATTCCGGCGGTCTTTAGTAGTTCATCTGACGCTGCACTGACGTTGTTACGTTCAGTGGCCCATGGATGGCCGATGCCAGAACGACTCTGGCCAGTGCTGAGGTGCTACCCTGTAACCTGCTGTTGGCAGGAGCGTGAGGCCAGGGAGAGAGATCTGGGGAATTGCTTTAGGGGCCCGTTCCAGTAGCCAACCGGGGGGTCGTTGCCAGGATGACGCTGGCCGGAGCTGGGGCGGGTTGTGCTGCCCTGTAGCCTAGGCATGTTGGGGGTGTGAGGCCTGGTAGAGACCTGGTATTGAGAACACGGCAGCTTTGGTGAGTTTCGGTTTGGCCTGTTGGCTAACACTTGCGTATCTTGGAATTCGGTAGGTTTCCTATGGAATCATGGATTGTTTGAATGGCTCAGTAGTTTTGTCATGAATGAATGTTCCTGTTATCCGCAGCTGAAGCCAGGTACTGGCCCCGGTATCTCAAATTGTTCTGTATATACTATATTTTCATATGGGACGCTGGCCCCGGTTCCCATCACGTGCTGCTCCCCACGAATAGATTGGAGCATTGTCCCTCCCCCCCCAAAAAAAAAACAAAGAGCTGAATGGCCAAGACTATTCTGAGCTTCCATCTGGCATGTGCTTTGTCTATGCCAGTGTCATGGCGCAAGCTTGTTGAAGAGTGCTGCGCATGGATGGTCGGTCTCAAAGCACATCTCCGGAAGCTTTGAAATACCATACGATCTCTGCTTTTTTATTTGCAAGGTTTCCGTTCTCTTCTTTCCATCCCCATTCCGGTTCCTATACTGTTTCTTCTTCTTGTGAGTTTGTTGTGAAAGCGCACTCCTCGTACAGGCTGTTCACCGCAGTCTGCATCAGCTCGGCGATGATGCCTTAAGGGCCTTAAGGCTGTTTCCCTTTCAAAACAAAATAGCGAAAAAAGAAGTGCAACTGTTTTGAAGTTTAAAATGCACTATTTCCGAAAACTGTTGTGATTTAACCTTGCCGGTCACCCATCCCTGGGTCCCCACCCCCTCCACCCCAAAAACCAAGGGGGAAGAAAAGAATGGAAAGGAGATTGGACCATAAGCCCTTCTCTCTCTTTTCTTCCTTAACATCTTTAAGCGAATAGCGGATCTCGGGTAACGCTCCCGTGAGATCCCGCTCGCCAGTGTTGGGAAACACGGTGGGACCGGCAGGCGGGCCCGACAGATACCGTGTGAGATCGTCGGGGCAGGCCGAACTGGTGACGGCCGTTGCTATTGTCGAGTGGGCCCGGGTAGCACAGCCAGATAGAAGTTTTTTCCCGAAACTTCTATCTGGCCGTCCAACCCGGGTCCGCGCGGCAATCCCAACGCCCGTGCTCCTTCCTGATGTTTCGGTTCGTTGCATGCGGTTCGCGGTGTGGTGCTCGCTGCGGACTATCTGGCCATCCAATCCGGGTCCGCGCAGCAATCCCAACGGCGGTGCTGCTTCGTGATGTTTCGGTTCGTTGAATGCGGTTCGCGGTGTGGTGCTCGCTGCGAGAGAGAGGGAGATCGGTTCGATGAGAGATCGCTGTGCTCGGTTCGACGAGAGAGAGAGAGAGAGTGTAGCATATCAGAAAGTGAAATGCACTAACAGCCTAGGATCTAGCAATGATGAAAGTGGCAACAACCAGCAGCATAGATGCAACATTCACCAGATGTCAATGTGCACAATGCAACAAGTAAACCAGCGAGAAAAAAACAACAACAACACATTTGCATCATCATCATCATGGGCTGGGGAACAGCGCAGCGGAATAATAGTAACCAAGAGGACACGTGGACAACAACAGGAAAGGGAGAAACTTCGGAAGGGCAGGAAGATTGCCCTTCCGCTCACTCACATAGGGAGAGATCCATAGACATGCGAGAGAGAAGGGGGGAGGGACATAGGAGGTAACCAAGTCCAACCCAAGTCTGATCTCCGAATGTCGTGCACGGTTCAATCCCAATGTAGCGTGTAAGTCCGGTC